TGCCTGATCATCGAAACTGATTTTGTCAGTAATTCCATCATCGTAAAGTATTATTAACAGTGAAGTTTTCACTGAGCTACCTGAAATTATCATGCTGGCTTAATGAATCTGAACAGATACGGTCGCGATAAGCGACTAACAAGAATGGCATTTTTTGCTCAAAATCACTATTTTAGGTTGAATTGTCACCTGAGCAACCAGTTCAACCACTTGAAAATATTGTGCCATCAGTCCAACCCGAAACACTTCGTCCACCCAAACCCACCCCATCTCAATCTCCACCTCCCCCTCAACCTCCCGTTAAACATATCCAACCAATAATTCCAACTCAGTCAGGAGCAGAAGTTGGTGCGATTCCATCCGATTCCGACGAATCAGTGCAGTCGTCTGCGGGTGATGTGTTACCCGCGCAGCCAGAAGCACCACGAATAGATCCAACAATAACGGCTATCGAGCAGAAACCGAAAACTGCGCCAGCAGATCTCGACAAAGTCAAGCCACCCGAAGTTGACTTCTCACAAGACTCCGGAGTGGTTTCAGTGGATCCAACGCAGCTGTCCATCGCTAAACTAGTGCCCACAAAAACAAACGTTAATAATTCACATGTGCGATTTGCCGTTGATATGAAAAAACAATTTATGTGAGATAAATTCCAAAGGCTATCTAATTGTAAGCCAAATCTAAAGATACGCATCCAAAATCAAATTGTCTGAATAAGAAAAAGATCTCTTGGAATTGATTGTATGATATTTGAAAATTGTGGATTAATAAAGATCTCTTGTTTCAGCAAGCAACCTCATCTTCGGAAGAAACTGAACAAGAGAGTGTATCAAACAAACCATTGTTTGTATTCACAACCCCACAGGTATTGTTGTTTATCACCTTTCAGATCAAATTATCATTTCAAGTAGCAAAGCAGTGCTTTAATGAATTTCTATTTTTATTGAGGAATCAATCCAGTTTTTAAAAGATTATTCACTTCATAAGTTCCGATCTGAGCAAACAATTGAGTGAGAGTGAAGACTAGAACTGGACTGAAGCAAGTCATTTCCTTGAGAAAAATAACTCGGAAGCTAGTATTGTCGTGAGCTTTTAGATGTGGTGTACGCAGTCAGTTAAGTTAAAATAATTGGTAAGATTTATGTACTGATTAATAAGATTCTGCTTACGAGAACACAGGCAAGTAGTTTGATCATCACTCTCTGAAATGATCTATCTCTTTTCAGA